CTAACTACTGTTTGTCTGAATAAAACTGTCTGCTCAGGATTCGATGAAGGCCGTTTTTGCCTGGTCCTGATTGGCGAAGGTTCTACCAGTGAGAAAGTTAGCAAAGTGCTCGAAAATGTGGTATTCGATTGGCGAGAGGTCTGGGGAGTGTGGTGGGTGAGGCAGAACTTCGACGCTCAATTCGTCAAATTTTCAGACGAGGATTTGTAAAACGTGTAGATGGGTGTTGTCTTTGACCTCTTCTTGATCAGTGTCGGTTGCTGCTGCTGACGCAATTTTTGGTACACCAGCCGCTGACTATCATACGGTAACCATGACCTTTTTTGTTGATTTTCGCCTTTGAGAAACGCCTGGGTAGCTCTTCGATGTCTAAGCTCTGTATTGTACGACTCTCATCCACCGGGTCCTCAAATCCTCGTCCTAGATATATGTAGGTCGACTACTTCGGGGCTCATCTTCGGAGCTAAAATCTCCGGACCGAAATTTCGCAAAGCAACGTCGAACAGTGCGTTCATTAACACTATAATTGTTGGTTGAATTTTCGGGATGTTTCGGCAGCGTTTTGGTTCAATTTGAATTCGTAGAGAAAAATTGACAGACACAAAGTACACTTTCGACTTCAGGTGTCCCTACAGAAAGAAGTCCATCGGTGTGAGATCAGGTGATATAGCTGGCCACTTCACAGGACGCCTTTTGCCGATCTAACGCATTGGAAAACGTTTGTCCAAAAACTGTCCCACTCGAATTACAAAATGTGCGGATGCACCATCCTGCTGGAGTGTTATTTCATTTTTCACTGAATTGTCATAATATTCTGAAATTTGTGTAATAATAGGATCTACACAGTCTTGTGATATATTAAAGTATGTGTCTCCATTGAGATAACCTTCAATGAAGAATGGTCCAACAATATGATTACCAAGAATGCCGGCCCAGACATTCAATTTTTGTGGAGTTTGTGAATGTGTTTCCATCACCAAATGAGAATTCACATCGCTCCAGTGACGACAATCATATCTGCTCACTTCACCATTCAACATGAAAGAACTTTCGTCTGAAAAACATGTATTGTATAATAAGTTTGGGTTATTGGCCACTTTCTCGCTGAACACCTCACAAACTTGAAGTCGATGATCAGGATCATCTTCCTATAACTAGTAGCTGATACACCACGCGCTCTAGCTACTTGTCTGATATATTTTCAATTATCCATTTGTACTTATAGGTTCTAAAACTGCAATTCAAGTCAATCATTTCTGACAGGACGGGATACTTCATGTTTTCTGTTGTGAACAGAACCTGAAGTTCGAAACTTATCCATTAACTGTTTAACGTATTGATGGCTCACGTTGTGGTCTGGATTTGTCTAATTAATGTCATATGTACAGCCCCAGAATATTAATGGCTTGATTTATTTATTAATTCCATAAGTAATACTCTTGTCAACTGAAATATATTTTCAATTACATCAAATAAATTGACATTATCAATAAGAATAAAACTGTAAATACTATTTTTTTATATGTTTTTAGATAGTAAACAAATGCTGATACCTAACCTCTCAGTCAGCTCACTTTTTTTCCTTTTTGCGGACGTTCATGACGTTTTAACCACCTTTTCAATTGTTCACAATTATGAGCCTCAACTGAATTATTAACAAGTGAAGCACTATCAATGGCTTTTCCAATAATTTATTTGTTTGTAGAGATAGTATTCCTTGCCCAGCCATTGTTGATTAAAACAGTACGAATGTTTTCAATTACCGCCATTTCAATATGACAGCTACGCTTGCGCTCGTCTTATGATGAAAAGGTCTATTGATATTACTTTTGTTGATTTTGTCAATAAAATGAGCGACAGCGAATTTTCTGTTTTTTTCTCAAATGAAACGTTCAACATTTAATTTATTAATTACTAATGAACTAATTTCGAAAAAAATTACAAGAATAATAGAGGGACAAAAGAACTTTCAGATGATGTATCATTCGACCCCCCATGCCATTGAAAAAAATAGGGTGGGTAGTTGCTGAACGCAGGGGGGTGACGTTTCGGGTATAATTTCCATATCAGAATTAGTCCACCTAGTAAGTCAGAAACGTCCGTTTCTTACAGGGAGGGCAAGTTTTTTTTTGGAACACCCTGTATACCGTGACCCAGTAGAATAAATATTTATTGAGATATGGAGCTACAAAAACACATGACATTAAAACGGACAAAACTTTTGAAACAATGTTGTGTAACTCCCAAATACTCAAATTAATGATTTTGAGAAAACAATGTGTGAAGGCCGTAGAATAATTCCTAAATGTTTTCCATTACTCTATGCATATTACTATGCATATTACTAACTTTAATATCTTGCAAGTGTATGTTGCTATGCTGTGCTCCTTAGGAAACTGGTCTTGCGTTTCTCCCTCATCATTCCAAAATTTCATCGTGTTAGAGTAGTACGTAGCGAAAATTCAAAACTTTCTTGATGGGTGGCCAAACTCAATACGTATATGGAATTGTCTTTGACACAAATACGTTGAATACACAATTTGTATGTAATAACTGTTTCTGATATTTCTTTTCTGAATCTTATAAGAATTGCGATGTAGAGGACCATGATACGGCAAAATAAACTGCACTCAATTATAAAAATCTACGTGTTGTAGTTAACCAAGATATTTGAAGCTTTCCAACAATCTAGAAGCTAGTTTTTGAGTAGAATTTGTGAAATTGAAAGATTAGCTCTTAAATTTTGTTACTGTTGACCATTATAAATAAATGAATAAATAACCTGGTGATGAAAACTCTATGATCTGTAACGTGTGCGTCTGATACTATGGATTTTTAACCATTCACGCTTTTACTACTGACTGAATATGTTATCATCGAAGGTCATAATGACTCTTGTTTGTTACACATGGTGTTAACACAGGGTGTTAATCTACATTGAAAAATAATAATAGGTTGCCATATAAACTATAACCAAAAATGTTACGTTCGAGAATAAGAGGTGTTGTAGTTTCAAATAAGAAGAAATGGAAATTATTCAATATTTCCGAAGTTGGAAGATTGCTCGCGTTCGGCCTACTCCTAAAAAGGGCAAGAAATACTTTTTAAATAACTATAGACCAGTCGCTTCGCTATCAGTGATATCAAAACTTATGGAGAAAGCCGTAAACTACCATATCCCTAAATATTTGAAAGGCTTTCACATCTTTATGATGCTGTGACTTGTCGAACCCAATACATAGCTTTGCTGACGACAGCAAACTTGTCTCGGCATTCCATTTAGAATCCAAGACATCGGCTGCGGACGCACATCTTCACCAGCAGCAAGAGGTTGAATATCCTAATGAGGATCTAGAGGCGATTTCGAATTGAGGTAAAAGTAACCAGGTTCAAGTCAATGCCACAAAAACCCAGGCATCATTTTTCTCCAAAGAGATAAATGTCTTCGAACAGGGTATACTAATGTCAGGATAGACAATTCCGCTTTCTGCTTCAATAAGTTTGTTGGGGCTTAAATTGGATACCAATATGTCTTGCCATAATCATGTCGCTGGGATTGTAAAATCTGCTTCTCTCAAAAGGTTGTAACACTGTTCCGAATCAGGAAACTATACAAACCCCAGCAAATTTTGATGCTTTATAAAGCTCAGACCTTCTTTGGAGTATTGATCACATGTATGAGGCTCCGTCCCTAAGTAAACCTTGAAGCTGCTGGATTCCATCCAAAAAACAACCATTCGCCTGATTGGAGACACAGACATCACTTGCAACTTTGATAGTCTGGAATATCGAAGAAAAGTTGGAGATTCGTCTCTCTTTTATAGATACTTTCACAGGAGGTGATCAAGGAACTTGGCACATTTGATCCCACCAAGAGCGGTACATATAAAAAATACGCGACAAACTGTGGCTGCTCATCGTTTTGAGGTTCAACTTAGTACACCTCGAATTTCACTGTTTAGGAACTCTTTCATTTAGAGAACTGCCTTTATGTGGAATAAAATTCTCTTGAAAACGTGTTTCCAAATGAATTTAATCTCTAGCGAGTCAAATCCAACGCGTATCACTACTGTCGCACAGGCATCGCTCTTATAGCGCCTTGAGGATTTTCCTGTAGTGCTTGTGTTTTGTAAAAAAATTGGGATATTTTAGTGTAATTTGGTGAACAGTGACAGTTGATGCAAGTTTATATTTCATTAAAGAAATAAATTTCAACTTCAACAGTGATGTGGGTACGGGAATCAACTTCAATATTTTTGTAACTTGTCTTGATAAACTAACTTGTCTTTAGTTCTACAAGACCTCAAAATAAACATCGTAAGCCATAAATTCATAACTTCAGAATAAATTATTTTTTATCATCTTTCCATCTTTTCAAACAACAGAGATATCGCCTGAGAAAGGGTTCGTGTTACACCTTGTATATTTTAAACACAACTTAATTTTTTTGGGCGCAAATGAATCGGTAAAATTGAAGTATAACCTCAGACAGAGCAATGTACTCAATGTAAGGACAATTCTATGACGTTGAATTTGAGCCATTCCTTCCAGAAAAGTGGGTAATTAGTTTTTGAGAAATTTTTGCCAATTTTATCAGACCAGAAGAGGGGCTCTAGCAAGTCACCAGACACAGTATCGCAAAGTGGTCATACATCCAACTTTGGCGCAGGCCTGGGGGGAGGTGGGATACGAGGTGTAGAGGGACAAATAGTCTCCCACGTCTTCAAGCCGTTGGTGACGAGATTCGTGGAGTCTAGCAAAGAAATCAAAACTCCTGAAAGTTTGGTAATGTTACGACATTCGTTGAATTCATCAAAATCAATTCACTTTCGTTTTAGCCCTTGTACTGCGAAATAAGACAACTCATGACTTACGTTAAGGAAGGGCATGGCAGCGTATTCAGGCGGGTGGCTCTTAGTGCTCTTTTGGATACTGCTGACAGACCAAATAAAAAGGGATCCAATACTCAAACAACAAGAGTTATAAGGTAAAATTCAATATTTTTCACTATTCTTTTCTTTCTTTTTCTTTATTTGCCATCGAAAATATATAAAATTACAATAACAATTATTCAATCTAATTCAGCAAATAGATTGGTTTATAATAATATAATAATAATACTTTATCACCTTTTAGACAAAAATTACATTGTATGGTAATCGTCAAGCTTATATAACTACATTTAGCACATGGTACTGTGTTACATGCCAACATTCAGATACTAAAATAAGATAAAT